TATTGTTTTTTTTTTTTTTTTTTTTTTCTTTTGCATATATTTACTGCTCGCAAGCAGTAGACCTATGCAAAAACATAAAAAAATTAAGTTACCAAACAAGTTATTACTTCCATCTCCGCCGCTTGCTCCATCCAGGGGAGGGCGCATGCGCAGTAGAGATCTTGGGCCGGGAGAAGAGGAGAGACGCAGTGTAAGTCAATGCACGCAGCCAGCAGCGTGCACGTCTGACAGACACCGTGGGACACGGAAGATACAGCAGTCAGCGCTTGATCAGAGACCGGCACCAGCATGGGGGGAGGAATGTGACTTTATCACTTTAACCCCTTCATGACTGAGGCCCTTTTTTCATTTTTTGCAAAAGTCGCCGGGAGTCTGTTTAAACAGCCCCGATGCTGGCGACGTACACTGTACGTCGTCAGTCACGAAGGGGTTAAGAGATCTGTGTTCTCATTGTCCTATGTTGCTGTGCTATTGGTCCATGCACCAAATGAGTAAGTTCCGGAGTTTATTACTGAAATGATGTTACTCTTCACTCCCATAGCAAAATCTAGCATTGAAGAAAGAAAAATGCAACGGAACGCAACAAAAAAGCACATAATTGTATGTGCAGAAACTCATCCAGATCTGGTCTGGAGATGGTGTGATCAAGCCCCAGGGCCATCTGTCCATAATGAATTTATTTCTAGCTACGTCCCAAGTTATAGGATATTCTGGATATATTGCAGGATGTGTACCTCTAGGATTTTGTTATGTTGTCCTTGCTTGACTTAGTTTTGGCTAACACTGTGGATGCCCCAATCTGCTGCAAGTCACATTGTCTGCAGCAATGAGGTGGTTGGGGGTGACCTGAGTGGGGAGGGATAATATTGCCTTCAGCCAAATCTGCAATCAGGGCTTTCCTGTACAGTGGCATTTCTTTCTGGTTCCGTCATATGACAAAGCTACCTTTTACACATTTGTGATTTGTCTTTCATGCTGTTTACATAGTAGCACTGTATTGATTTTTGTTTTGTTTTCTTCCTAGTTATATCTTGGAAATACTTTTACAAGATTGGATTAAGTGACACTGAAGTCATCCACGAATCTTGTAAGTTTTTATCTCTCAGTAAACCAGCTTTATGATAAGTTTCTCTGTGAAATCTTAATTTTGTCATCTCTGTGGGGTGTGAAGAAATCTTGACTGAAGACGGGTATACACGGGTAGTAATTTAATTTAGGTGGACAAATTATCCTTCAAACTGTAATGATCATATTTCATTTTTCTAGATCTAAAATCATGAATCCCGTCTATAGCCCTGGATCTTCAGGGGTTCCATATGCAAATGCCAAAGGTATTGGATATCCTGGTAGGTAGTTTTGCCCTTTTTTTTCTGTTTTTGTCATTTTTAATTTATTTTTAAAGGGTACAACATAACAGTTGTGGCCACGCAGGAGCGGTAGAGCATTATACAGCAGTAACATGAAAATTAGGAGGATACTTGTTAGGAGATAATGGAAAGTTGTCCTGATCTTGTGCAAGTAATGCACCCAAGGGCAATGTCATACAGACAACCATGTAATAAATTGGAGGGCTTTGGCTATTGTCCCATAGTAAGCAATCTCATTCTCCATTTTTTGATCACAGCAGTATTTCAAAGTTGCAATCAGAGAGGGGGTTGTGGCTATAGTGTTGGCTGTTCCCTCCCCATAGGAATATCCATAAATTGGGCTTTAGCCTGGGGTGGAGCTACAACCAGCACTAACAGGGAAAAATATATGATATTTCCCCAACTACAGCACAGATCTGAACAGGATTAAATGCTACATACGCTTTGTCCCCTGGAGCATTCAACAACGTTTTTTTATGTTGAGCTACTACTTTAAAGCATTTGTTTAGTTCAGTATTTGGCAATTATCTGAGTGCAACAGTTCACTCCATTACTGCTTTGTTTGTAACTGCTTATATATTGGGCTATTTCTGTTGTGGGGAAGAGTGAGAATTCTTGGCTTGATTCATTCCACATTCAAAAGGAGAAACTTTATTGAACAGAAATTAAACAAAATAGAATCAAACAAGCCAGTCAGAACAATGCACATTGCAATATGCATATGCAGAAAAAAAATTACTAAATAGAAATAAACCGGGAGGATCTAACAGAACTGTTAATACAGTGATCACTAAGGATACAGTAAAACAGATGCATGCTTGTAGGCATGGCATACAATTTCTAAGGAGTTACAAGATTTAGAGTTGTCAAACCACTGTTCCCAAATCTTTTGGAATTTAGTGGGACAGCCTCTGTGTTCACAAAGTTTTTTATATGGCAAAGTAGCATTGATCTGAGCAAACCAAGTAGCATAAGAAGGTGATAAGGCCTGAATCCACGTGCTGGCAAACCATTTTCGTGCAAGAAACAGTTTCTTGTAAAAACGCAATAGAGAATTTGTCTAAATTCAAGTACAAAAATATTCCCCGCGGACAATAATTCAGGTTAAGAGTGACTGGGGGAACCCATGTTAATAAAGAATCTGACCACCTGACTACAATATCTTTGTGTAATTGGACAACTCCAAATTAAATGAAAGTGCCCAGAGCAGACCAGCCAATTGGACTATGTGAAGAGCAGGATCTGGAAAGTCATTCAGAAATCTGATATGATCTATGAAGGATATGCAATTGAATAAGTCTTATCGGATATTTTAGGGGAAGCTAACTTGCAGGTCTCCAACGCCTCATCCCAGTTCCCGAACCTTTCTACTATTAGGTTTGCAACCTAATCGAACAGCTTGAGGAGTAAGAAGAGTCCTTGTATAGGAGATAAATAAGTTTAGAAGTTTGTAGAAGTGGTACCACATTTTAATGTAATCACATCACAGGGACTTCAAGTAGAACAGGGACACCTGCAGGAAACTGAACGAAGGGCATGTCATAATTGTAAAATGTGAAAACATAAAATGAGGCAAATTAAACTTTCAACTATGAAAAGGGTTTCACTCCATTAGTACCCAGAACCTGATGTAGAAATTGCAACGCCCCTTAAAGTGGGCCTTTACCCCCTTTGGCTAAAAATCAAATCAGCATGCTTCTCTGCATGCTGATATGAAATCATCTCATATTTATTAGTTAAACATATTTTCATTTTACTTACAATTTCTTATTTACTTCCTGGTTCTCTTTGGCAAAACTGATGTAATGTGCCCAAGCATTGCATCCTGGGAAGGTTACATCAGCAGAGCATTGCTGTGAAATCTCATCTGTACTCTTAGGGAACGGCATATTCCTCCCCTGAGATGATGTGCATGGTCACACATCCTAGTCGCATGTCCCAGAGCTCCAGGAAGTAAATGGAGACCGATTCATCTGCCCTTAGTAAAAATGGCCACTGTGAAAAGAAAAATATGGTATGAAAATAATACAAAGCCGGCAATTATCTAGAAGTATGTGTTTTGTAGATTGGCATTACCAAACATTTCTAAAGGTGTCTTTGTTGTTATTTTGAGGTTATGGGTAAAGGTCCTTTTTTTTTAACATCCAAAGCTTAGCATTAGGGACAGTATAGAGTCCCAGTAACAATTCTACCACAAAGGACTTTATTTACACACAAAGGTCAGATGAAGTTTCTTTTGAGCCAAATCCCATAACCTAAGAAGTTGATATATAATTGAGTCTTTAGAGGGAGCAGTACTACCTCTAACCCCCCGTAGTAATCCTTTAGAGCAGCGTTCTCAAGTACCGGCCCGTGGGCCACTTGCGGCCCGTGAGCTGGTACTGTGCGGCCAGCTCGCAAGTCTGGTACACAGTCACGGACCGCATAACTGACTTGCGGGAGCAGCTACACGGTCTGCATCTCTATCGGATGCCAAGATCTCCTGGCACTGAGATTTTTTCGGCTGAAGCTCAGTTCTGAGCTCCGAAAGAAAGGATGTATTAGTGAGGTCTGCAGCAGACCTTACTAATCACCACTAGAGCACCAGGGATCGATCTGCCTCCTCCCTGCAAAAAGGTAAGCAGGAGAGGGGGCTCTGTATTTTATTTTATATTTGGGTGGGAGGGGGTTTTATTTTATATGGGGCTGCATGTAAACGCCTGCACAGCGCATGTAATATGTGATATGATTGCATTCGGTTAAGATTCAGTCACTCTCCCTGGACTCATCGATTGTGCAACCAAGGAGAGTGTTTTCGAATCGCATGTAATCATATCACATACAATTACATGTGGTATGCAGGCGTTTACAACGCAAGCTCCTGATGCAGGAATCCCAATCGTACCTAAACCAACAGATATGAATGAGGCCTTATTGTGAGTGTATTGGAGTCCGTAGTACCATACTGGATATAGTTACATTTTATTTTGATGTACGACATTTTTCAGGCTGGCCCCCATGGGAGAAAAAGAATTGTCGAGTGGCTCCTGAGTCAAATGAGTTTGAGACCCCTGCTTTAGAGCCAACAGTTGTCTTCTGCTGTTGTGGAAACATCTCGGGGATAAAGAATCCCCTGAATTTTCTAGTTGCCCGGTGTATGCTGGCAAAGCCATAGTGCTAGTTGCTGGGTGTTGTGCATCTAAGTGGTATTTGAGTCAGGATAGACTGTAACAGTGTCCCTGTTTTATCCTGTTTGATGTGACCCATTGTTAACCTTTAAGATGAAACCTGAATTTTGCCCATAGTAGGCAAGGAAACAGGACCACTGTGTAGGAGGAACAATACGAATCCTGTTATTGCCATCCCTGTGCTCTCCCCCCCAACCCAATCTCCTGCCAGATACCTAGAAATCTCTGCAAATTTCTGAGAAATGTAAAACTGACATAGGGTTATATAGTTCTCTTGCACTATCACAAGGCCCCATTCACACTGAGCGATTTGCAAATCGCGCGATTTGCATTTTGCGCGATATCGCACAGTTTGTCGTGCGATATCGCGCAAATGGTTGCATTGAGCAAACTAGAATAGCGGCAAAATCCGCTCCAAAAAGGGTCCCTCTGTAGCGAGGCACGACCCGCGACAGCGACGGACAGAGCCCCATTGCCATGCATTGGAGAGCGAAATAACCACCGCGATAAATCGCTCAGTGTGAATGGGGCCTAAAAGCTGGAATGTCCACCTTACTTAGAAGCATGGGGGAAGGGAATTTATCACAACTGGAGCAGACAGAATCTGGAGCAGCTGTGCATGGCAACCAATCAGCATTCCTCTTTTTTTCAAATCTTAACTGAACAAACTGAAGAGAGAAGCTGATTGGTTGCCGTGTACAGCTGTTCCAGATTGTGTCTGCTCCAGTTTTGATAAATTCCCCCCCTGGGTTTTTGTCTGGAATCTTGCAGTTGATCTGGGTGGCAGTTGAGCACAGGGAAGGTAAGATGCTTTGTGTGATTTGCTATAAATCAAACCTGCTACTTTCCCAGTTAAGGCAAATAAAAGTTGATGTGCACTTAAGCTGTAAATCTTCATGGCCACGTTTTAAAGTGAACTTGTCAAACCTGGGCAATTCAGACCTGTCACATGATATACAAAATGCGTGTTCCTATCAGATTTTATTAGCTAACTGCTGGCATAAGGCTGTTGAGGAAAATGCTTTTCTTGACCTAGTAACTGAAGTTGTGCTTGGTCTTAATCCATACTTTATACGTCGGCATTTATTATTTGATTGCATTATGTTCACATTTATTGGAGTTTGTATTAACTCGCCTGTTTCTCTCAGTTGGCTTCCCAATGGGATATGCTGCAGCAGCTCCTGCCTACTCACCTAATATGTACGCTGGTGCAAATCCTGCCTTCCCGTCAGGTAAGTTGTGCTTGTTCTTCACCTAAGTTATATTTTGTAACTGATATAGTTAGTTTAATTGTTGTAACATCCTCAATTCTATATTTGTGTGTTTTTTAAAGATGCTTTTTATTGGTTTTATCAATTGTTATACAACCTATACACAAACAAAAAAGAAAAGAGAAGAAAACAATAAAAAAAAAAACAGACAACCGGATTAACATAACCCAGAGACAATTGTTGCACAGTTGTCGTGTAACATACATGTTATGCTTACAAACTCCAGAGCAGAGGATATGAGCTATAGGTAAAATACAGATTCAGTACAAAGGAATTATTAGGCATATTGGCTACGGTACATTTCAGGGAATGTGAGGGATGTCAGGCTATATTTGTGTTTTTATTTGTGTTTTTAGCTGTTTGGTCATTGGTATAGCATTTGATAGTCATCTATTTTCTTCAAATGGTTACTCAAATCTGTGGCCAAGTGAATGACTTGTATTTCATTTTTATGAAACACTTTAATGTCCCTTCCTCCCAGAAATCTATAAACCCCCCTCACCCTTCTAATTTATGACTCACTGAGTGGAATTTACATCACTACCTTGTTGACATGGACACTTCCTACTGGCTGTCCTGTAGTGGGGAACCTCCCAGGTTCTAGAAGACTGCATAGTGTTGTCACCATGAAGGGGACTGGTCATCACAGGCCTAGACTGCAACGCCGGATGACTGGTAGAGGCGACTGCGAGCCACAGGGGAGTTAGGCAAATAGGAGACCTAAGTAAGTAGAAAAAGAACAAACTAAAATCTCTTAAATGGGTGGCAGTCAATTTCCCCTAAGATGAGTTATTAAAATGGAGGGATGGGTTTGAGTTTTAATTAGCGTTATGGAATCTCTTAACATTCTAAGATTTCCACCACACAACGTTCAACGTTCCACCTTGCATTATTATTGTATGTCTGTGTAAGGGTTTATTCAATCCTATTGGTTCTTGTTGCCTTTTTATTTTTTCTCTTCCTCCTTTTAGTTCTTCCTTTATGTTCATATTGCACTTTGTTGCATTTGTAACCAGCTCCATATTAAACTTTATAAAATGTTCATGTGGTGGAAGGTGTATCCAGTTTTAACCCTCCTTGTAGTTCTATCCGTTAGTGAATAAACTGAGTTATTTGTTAGCAGGGAAGTTTTTGCATCTAGATCTTATAGCTGCAGAACCCACATTCAGCGCCAAGCAATCTTCTTCCTTTTAATGATGGGTACTGAATTACTATGTATTATAATCACTGACAAGCTCTATGTATATGTGTCATGACTAGCACTACAGCTGTCTCCACTTTCTGTACATCTCTGCACTTTGCATACTCTGCTTTGTGTGATACAAAGGTGTTTGCAATATACAAAGCAGAGAATGGCTTTTTCAATGTGGTGGTGTGATCATCTGGTTTTTTTTTTTTTGCACCAATTGTATGAGAGGTAGCTGTGATGAGCCTGAAAATAAATTGTGTATAAGACTGGCCATAGATGGCCAGATACTATACTCATAGGAACCTAAGGTGATGAGACCTTCAATACGATCTTAACATTGGACTTGGACAATTTCTGAGTGGCAAAAGGCAGGATCAGATCCACCACGCAGACAGGAAATAAATAATAGTCTGTCTTTATCATCTCTTAATCAAGGGTGACACAATTTCTATGGAATTCAGGAGCCAACATTATGGACAATCACTAAAAAAAACCCTCAGATGTTAGGAGCCAGCTTCCTGGCTCCTAATGTGGTTTGTCCTGCTCTGTCTTAATGAACCTCTATAAGGTCCAAGAACAACATCAAAACTTTGGATTAGTAAAGACTTGGACTATATTTGTCCTTCCTATGTGGGCAAGGGAAGATCTCTTAAAGCAGTCTGGCACACTACATTCCTGGGTTGGGGCCTATTGATCATGTTCGATCCAAAGTCCTTCAACCTGCAGGTGGCTGAGCCAGCGTATTTTTGCTCTGGTTCCATAACTCCTAGACATGAAAGTGAGCATAATGCCCTAGGGATCTAGCGTGCCTGTCACGTTGCAGGATTTTAACATAAACTTGCTATAAATGTAAACTTTTTAAAGTGATCTCATTGCAGAAGAGCAAGTAACACAAGGAATAAGTCATCTATTTTTAGTTTTACAAGCTGAACCCTGAAGTGCCTATTCGGAAAGGCAAAGCATATGTGAGCTGTAATGCCAGGTTGATAAATCACTCGACCGCTGGGGACGTTTTATTTGTAGGATGTAAGGTGGATTGCACAGGAGTCTGTCTGTTTGCATGGGCAATTCATGGAGCTCAATCTGCCCTGGGGGTTGGAACCTGGAACTCACTGTATGTATTCACACCTTTTTATGAAGCTGCAGCAATGGTCATTGGAATGTTTAGCCGGACCGCAGGTTTACTTTAAAAGCATGAGTTCAGGGATTTTGTGACCAGATCTGATTGCAATGATGGTCTTGGTGTAGGTCTAATCAGGAATGTGCAAGCATATTTAAGAACTTCTTGCTGCTAAATCTTGTTGGTGGTTTATAGTTTGCACCTGGATGTGAAACTGTGGTCTGTTCTGTGTTGTATTAGTTTACCAGAAATTATTCTAGTCTGTATGGATGTAAATGGTGTCGGCTTCAGCCATTTGTATGAAAATGAAAATCTCGTTCTGGCAGCAAATACTGAAATGTAAATTTAAATGCTGACTACAACCAAAAACGGTTTCTGATTTTTACATGTGACTGTGCTTTAGTGCTCCATCCACGTACACTACCTCAGGATGTTAATACCCTTGGCACTCAATGTACATAATGCCTGCTGTCATACCCTCTGCCACTCTTATCCTGACCATTAAAACACTTCCCACATTGTATATGATGGTCTACAATCTCATGTTTAGTTTACTAATTTGTATTGAGATTGTAGTCCATCACAGGAGCGAGCTTGGAGAGGTGACTACTTTACAACACACACAGGGACGATGAGGAACAAAAGTAGCCCCCCTCCAGAAGGAAGGACAGTGTCAACACCAATTCAGAGATGATTTGGAGGATCTACAGCTGAGTGATACACAAATAACATATTTTTGGTAATAGTTAAGGAAATCGGATGTAGTTTTAGGATTTAACTCCTGAGTTTAGTGTCACTTTAACTGATCAACTAAATTCCACCACAGCCAATAAGTTTGGCAGAGTTGAAATTATCAAAAGTTCGTTAAATTGATTATTTGGGAAATTCTTGTTCATTTTATTTAGTCACATTGATCGTATAGATCAGTGTTTTTCAACCTTTTTTGTGCAAAGGCACACTTTTTTCATGAAAAAAATCACGAGGCACACCACCATTAGAAAATGTTAAAAAAATTTACCTCTGTGCCTATATTGACTATATATAAAGTAATTCTCTTGAATAGGAATCAAATAAACACAAAAATTAGGAGTCCGGTGACTATGTCCGTGACGTCACCGGATCTCCGATGGAAGACCCGGAAGCCGGCGGAGAGGTGAGTAACTTTGATCGATCAAAATAATTAACGATTTATTGACGGCACACCAGAAAACATCTCACGGGGCACAGTGGTTGAAAAACACTGGTTTAGATACGTCTGTGGCCACAATAAGGCTGGACAAGCTCAAACCGTCATGGAGGGAATACATTCACATTTCCTGATTATATAGAGTAGCATTTACAAATCGTATTAAATACAGTAATCAAGATATGCAATTTCAAGGAAAATATGAAAGTCTCTTTTGAAATTATTTCCAGGATGATATTAAAGGATTGACTCGGTGAGGACTTCTAGAATATATTGTTTAGTCTTCCTTTCTAAGCGTTTTGAAGTGTATAAGCTGTGTTTTTCTTCATGGGTGATATTAATTTAGTCATTTTGGATGGAGGATATTTCAATATGAGTACTGAGAAAAACACAAGCTGGTGCATCAGTAACCAAGCTGTATGATTTCATTTCAAGTCACTTTCTGCTTGCAATACCGTATCTGAAGTTCTGTGCTAATTGTTGTTTCTGGTTACAGGATATACACCTGGAACGCCATACAAAGTGTCATGTTCTCCCACCAGTGGGACCGTGTCACCTTATTCTTCCTCTCCCAATCCTTACCAGACTGCAGTATACCCAGTACGAAGTGCCTACCCCCAGCAAAATCCATATGCACAGGTATTTTTTTTTTTTTTTTAAGTTGTACAAAGACATTTCTCCAAAGACGTATTTCACAGAGAATCAGTTTTTCGTGTTTTCATGCTGTGATTTGATTTTGTAATCCTATGCAGATTTGGACTTTTAAAAGTCAAAATTTGCCCAACTATTTTAGGGTAGGCGGGCTCCAGCAGCACATTGTGGCAGCAGGGAAGGTAAGCAAAGACTGCTTCTGGAGCCTTCTGTGCAGTAAGGGTTGTTATTTTATGCCCTTCTGTCATCGAAATGTGGTTGTGAAGGATAGGTTAGTTGTACAGGCTGACTACATGTGAAGGGATTCGCTCTCAATATAGTGCCAGGGATAAATAGGGAATGAATATGACCCCTAAGAGACCAATATAAGCATTAACTCTTATTTCTATCCAGCATATAGTCACGGACAGCTGTTCTCTATAATCCATTACATATTGCTTAATAGGATGCCAAAGATTTAACATGCATGAATTGAAACGGCTATTTAAAGAGGAACCCCAGGACAAAAACACATTTTTGGAAAGCTCACAATGTAAATCGGTTACCTCTTAGTATCCTATGCCCTCAGTGCTGTGTTGTTACAGTATGACACTTGATTCATGCCGGATACTAAGTACAGCACTCTTCTCCTGGCACTGACCGGTCTGGCTCTAGCACAATGCACAGATGGTGTAATTCACTCTCCTTTCATCCATTCCTCAATATGCATTGTATTCTGGGAATGGACAAGGGGAGATCCTGTAGTTTACTCTCCCCTCGTCCAATCACAGGACGCCTTGTATTGAGTAAAAAAAAATAATACAAGACTTTTAGTGAATTGACAAGAGGTGAAGGGGAGTGTAAACTACGCTAACCTCAAACTGTAACCACCGGAACTATCACCCACAGTGACAGAAGAAGAGTGCTGAGATTTAGATTATTAGAGGTAACTGCTGTGTGAAAAAACTGTTTTTCCCTGGAGTTCCACTTTAAACTGGGTAAAATCAGGCACTAGTGAGCAAACACGCACGTCTGGCCTTCATGTTGGCCTGTAAATTGGAAACATGTTAAAATCTCATTGTATCACCCCTTTTTTTTCCCCCTCCCTCATAACCTGCAGCCTGTGTGTTTTGTGCTGTGTAGTGTGAGGGCATGTCTCATTGCATATACTGAGTTTTGGTTTGAATATATCAGGTAGGCCCTTGCATGATATCTTTACAACCTAGTTTTATATTCTGGATTTTGTAAATCTTTCTAGACTTTAATTGTCTGTCCAGCTTTAGAAATTCAGCTCAATTGTCTTCTGTAAATTGTACAAATTCTGATGTTTGCATTTTTTTCCCCTAATGTCCTTTTTACAGCAAGGAGCGTACTACACACAGCCCCTGTATGCAGCTCCTCCACACGTAATCCATCACACCACTGTTGTGCAGCCAAATGGAATGCCTGCAACTATGTATCCTGCACCCCTTCCTCCAAGAGGTAACGCGATGGCCATGGGGATGGTAGCTGGGACCACCATGGCAATGTCAGCAGGTACTTCTACATTTTTATTTACAGTGGTACCTCGGTTCACGAGCTTAATTCGTTCCACGATTCTGGTTGTGAACCGAATTACTGGCGAACCGACTCAAACTGCGATCTCGACTAGAGGAAGCCAGAACCACGTGTCAGGGCGGGGAAGATGGCTGCAGTCGTGTTCGTCACCCGATGTGGCGTTCGCGAACGGAAGCAAAATTTTGCCTAACTTTCCGTTTTGTGAACTAAATTGTTCACAAACCGAAGCGTTCGTGAGCCCCGAGGTGTTACTGTATTTATTTTTTATCCATTGTGTTGGCTGAGGCAAAAAATATGCCCATTTTTAGACTGCTGTTTCCTCAGTCTGGCTGTTGCGTTTACCTTTTTGTGCATGTGAGCAATTCTAACTTCGCATAAGATGAGATACATGAACTAGGGATGTTCAGATACCAAGTACAGATACTTTCCCAGCTCCAAGACTAGACTAGAGAAAAACAAGTTAGGAGGCAGCTGTCATTTGTAAGGAGCACACGGAGCTCCTGGGATTTGTACATCTCTGTTTAATGTATTATTTGTTTCATATAAAGATATATATAAGTGATGCACCGATACCGTTTTTTTCAAGTACAAGAAATGATACTTGTCCAGGTGCTCCCAGATACAAGTAAGGATACATTTTTGTTATGGTCATGTGACAGTTTTTTTCTAAAATACAGATGAATGATCTCAGGACAGTGGTGGAGTACCAGGGCCCTGTCCCAGCTGCAATCAGGCACTGGTATCTGGACATCCCTCACATAAACAGAGGCTATGTCAGTGTGAAGCACATATCAACATGATCAGTAAATCCAGAGAAATAGACAGCTGAAGCTATATGCATGTTTCTGCTTTTTCGGTAGAAGTTCAGCTTGGATTTACACACTTTAGTTCTCCCATTTGCTAAATAAAAACTGTTTGTGTTTTTCATCTTATGCTCTGTGTATCGCCCAGGTGTGTTCTAGGCGTTTGGTTCTACCATCGGTGCATGTCTTTCTGGTGACCTCAAATGTGCGCCCGTACAGTCACTAGTGTCTCAGCTATGTATATGCCTATTAACGCTCTATAAATGGGTGGTCCTGTATAGCTAGGACTTGTTTGTAAGTTTTTATACAGCAATTATATTTTGAAGTTGCATTTTATTATTGGAAATCTTTGTTTTCTAGGTACGTTGTTGACCACCCATTCACCCACTCAAGTAGCTCCTCATCAGGTCACAATGCCTGGATACCGGCCTCAAGGGACCCCAACTTATAGTTATGTCCCACCACAGTGGTGATTAACCTACCAGTGTAAGTGTATGTCATGCCACTTTATACTACAACTACACAGTCTCCTGCTATGTGTTTGGAATATGATTGAGGATAAATGTTCGTTTTATTTCTGGATTTATGTTTCTTGTTACAATTATGGTTACAAAAGACCCCTAAAGAAAACCTTGAACTTTTTCACCATGTTTAAGAGAACCAGAACCCTGGAAGTAGTGCCCACAAAAGGCAAAGGACCATTCACCAGTATTGCCTGTGGTCTCCCTGAGGCTGTTTTCCCCATTACTAGTTTACCATGTCTCCTTGTGCTCTGTGTGAATGTGACCATCTTGGTTTAGGCAGGGCTTTGCTACCTCATGTCAGAGTTCAGGGGCGTCCAGAGGCTGGGTGACACCCGGAGCGGTAACAGAGTGTCACCCCACCGAGACGTCACTGCGTGTGACATCACCACGCGCGTGCCCGATGACGTCATGGCGCACGCGCGGCAGTGCTCTGATACCTAATGGACGCCGGCAGAGAGGAGGGGACAGTCACCCGGCGGGATAAGGTATGCCGCCGGGTCCCCTCCTCTCTCCTGATACTGTCGGGCGTTCGGTCTCCGCACCCCCCTTGTAACGCCACTGTCAGTTGCCCCCCTGATGGCTGGGGATTTGATAACTGGTTAGGTAATGATTAAGAAACCGCAGAAGAGATGGAGAAAACCCAGATCTATATAATGAATGAAGCATGGGAGATCCTTTCCTTGCAGGTCATCAGATACAGCTTCCCTTCCAGCAAGGAAAGCTGTGAGCAGGCCAGAAGTGACATCACTAAATCTTGAGACTAGCTGGCCCAGTGCCTTACATGACCTCACACAGCAGATATACAGCTATGAGGTGCAGGAAGTGCACTATTATATTTCAGGAGGAATTAAAGACTAAAGGTAACATTTTCAGGGTACTGTTTAAGCGCAGTTGACATTCTAGATCTCTAAAAGAACAGATGGATAATTTTTTTAATGTTTAGTTCTACAATTGAAACTTAAGAAAACTGTTTCTTTGAGATATATAATTTTGGCACATATAGCATATATGCCACACACAAAAAAAATCATTCTTGATGATGATTGGAAAGACATTTTTGTGAATACTGCTGTAAGGCAATGTCTGTTTTTGTTTCAGTTTTATCTCTGCCTGATTTTGACCTCCTTAAATGTGATTTTATCAGTGTTAAAATTAGGGCTACACCGCTACCTTTAGATACTCGCCGATACTAGGGATGCACCGATACCAAGTACCGTACTCAGTATAAGTACAGATACTTCGAGCTCCAAGACTGGAGACAAATTCAAAAGTTAGGAGGCAGATGTCATTTGTAAGGGGCACACGGAGCTCCTGGGATTTGTACATCTCTGTTTTAATGTATGATTTAGTTTTTTTATAAATCTTAATAAAGTGATGCACCGATGCCAGTTTTCCAAGTACTGATACTTGCCCAAGTCCTCACAGATACAAGTACTGATACTTTTGTTTATTGCCATGTGACAGTTTTTTTCTAAAACAATATCAATTAATGATTTCAGGACAGTGGTGGAGCGCCAGTGCCAGGTCCCAGCTGCAACCCGGGTAGTTCTTATGAAAATGCCAAGTATCAGCCCTGGTATCTGAAAAGTATCTGTGTATTCCTAGCCGATACCAAATACCGATAACAGAAGTCCCATTAAGGAAGCCAGGCAGCCTGTATTGACCTGCCACCTGGCTTCCTGATTAGCAGGGAAGCCGTCCCCATGCTTCTCGCCACTAGGTAACGAGAAAGCATGGAGTCTATCAGTAAGTCGGGCAGCGTGTAATGACTCGCTGCCCGGCTTCCTGATACTGAAATTATCGGGCTAGGCATCGGAGCAATTGGGCGAGTACCAGTACCTGGCATCGGTATCGGTGCATCCCTAGTTTAAAAATAACATTCTCACCCCTGAGCCAATAAGCTGGGATCTTGACCGTTGTGGCTACAAGCATTTGGCTTATTTGGTTATACAGTGTCTCTTGTGAGACGGTCATACTGAACAGTGTAGTGAATGTGTGGCCAGTTTATACATAAAACCAGGAATGATGGTAAGTTGGCTCTCAGTCTAAAACATTCCAGACAGTTCTTTTCACTTCTCTCCCCCCATGTCTTAAAGAGGAACTTTCACCCTTATCTGTGAAATGGCAACAAACACACCTTTAGAAATATTTAGTAATGACAATCTACAAACGGACTTCTAGATAATTGCCGGCTTTAGTCTTTGCATACCTTATATTTCTTCTCCCCATTCTTCTCACAGTGGCCATTTTTATTAAGGGCCGATTAATATATCTCCCTTTACTTCCTGGAACTCTGGCACATGTGACTAGGACATGTGACCATGCACATCATCTCAGGAGAGAAGATACCTTTTCCTGAGATCTTGTGAGATTACAGATGAGATTTCCCAGCAATGCTCTGCTGATCTTCCCAGGATGCAATGCTTGGGCACAGTTATATCACTAGTGCCCCAGAGGACCAGGAAGTGAAAAACAGTCATTGTAAGTAAAAGAAAAATGTTGAACTAATGAATGCAAGATGATTTCATATCCACATGCAGAGGTAAGTTTTAGTGAAAGGTGGTAAAGATCCACTTTTATAAGCATAGTTGCCAAATCTCTTTGTTTTGTTGTTTATGTTTTAATAAAGTTTTCCTTTCTGCAGGTTTAAAGATGGAAGATATGCAAGCAAGAAAGAGGCTTATTTAGATGGTGCTGAAGCATTCCTGCCTCCAGCAAGAAGTTTCTTCCTTCTGAATTCTCTCAACACTTTGCCTAACACTAATTCAGGATTCGAAGATTTCCATTATTGCATATCTTAACATCTTGGGACTCTAGTGGTTGTCTTAATATGAAAATCCTGTTTTGTGGACAGTCTTGCAATTTTTTTTTTTAGCTAATTCTAATGATAAAAAAGGGAGTTATAAAGTCGTTTCAATCCATATCTAGTTGAATGCATGTTAAAACACAAACCCAAGCTTGCTCAGTTATTGCAGTGACATATGCAAAGAAAAACAAAAAAAATACAAAAAACATCATATGCAAAATCCAAAGGAATAGGGAAGTGATTTTTAAGGCCTTTTTACCCTTTTAGGTGGGCCTCCTAACCTTGAGGCAAGACTAATCACCCAGTGTGTACTTTGAGTGTTGCTCTACCATTTTTTGAAGATTGTTGCTAGTAAATGGTGCCATGTTTTAAAGAGAAACGTAATCTACTACATCATATAAAAATAGTGTATTTCAGAATAATATACCCGGCTTCACACCTAGGAATACTATCTTTTTTTTTTTTTTTTGCATTCCTCTTGATTTTTTTTAATTTTGTATTTAAATAGGAATAGCTGACTCGTTTTGATGTGATCAGCTAGCTGTGTGAACTAAGAAGATTTCTTAGTGTTAGGATGCAGTGTGTGACTTTGAACACTATAAGTCTATATCATTACGGGGTACAGTTGCTGCCACACATTTCTAGTATTGCCTCTGAGCTGCTTGCAGGTAAGAGACATGACACTTTTAGCATTCCCCCAACACAGATGATCTGGTTTTTTTTTTTGTTTTTTTTTACGTTAGTCCTTTGATTTAAAGACATTGCAGAGAGAAGTAAAAAAAAAAAAAAAAATCTATGCATCAGGAAATGTGAAGATGAGGAATTAGAAGGTGGAGATTGATTCCCCTTTTTCAGATGATACGATACAGCGACCACATTTTAAATGATTTTTTTTTTTTTTGATATGCTCACTTTGTGCAGAATTTTTGTTTGCATTCCACAGTAAATAAAGAAATATGCTGAACATTCCTAATTCTAGTGTGCATAACTGGTGAGTCTAGGAAGGGCTTTGTTAGTCATTTATTCATTTAGATGCCATGCCGCACAGACCATTACCTTTCCGACGAGGGGGAAACTTGGCAGTCAGTAAGTAGTAAATTCTAAGCGTCACCCCCTTTTTTTTTTTTTTTTTCTCTACAGTTTTAGACTGAAAAGGTCAAGATGTTTTCAAACCAGTATTTCTGTAGCTGCTATACGTTTTTTTTGTTTTTTTTCTTCCCTGGGGCCAGCTGATTTTCAAGGCGACACATGCAGTTGACATCCACTTTGGTCCTAATTATATACAAGCTTTCTGTTTTACCTGAAGATAATATTCAGGCAGACTGTTAGAGGTCTGGTTGCCATGGGAAACATACATCCAGTTTTTAAGTATGGAGCATTACACTGAGAATTACAAGTGTTATTAAAGTACTAATAAACTCTTATCACCTATCCATTGGAGTTGTGTTTATCATAATTATTAGGTTATTTCCTTGCATTTTATAGATCCTCCTTTAATACGAAAAGGTTTTTATTTCATCTCAGTTTAACCTTCGCTAATATGATGGTATGTCAGTGCGATCTGGTAGGCTGTATGAGCTCTGGCTGGCCAGTAGGGGGCATCCCACATATTGCATATACCTGTGAAGTTTTCTCAGAATTCTTTCTTCTGGACAAAGCATGACAATTCACTCAAGTATCAATTTCCCCCTTTGCAGCATGCAGATATTTTATTGAAAGACATGTATGAAAATTATAGGGCAACGCCTACTTTTTTCATATGTGATGTATAGATGTCCAACTGCAGAATACATAATGGGGGAAAATGATCTGAAGAGTGTTTTTGTTCTTGTGGGACAGATATTTGTCACTTAATTTTTAAATAAAGTTCATCAAACGTGTAACAAGTGTTGGGTTTCCAGTCTAAATGTCTGTAGTGTCAGGTTTGATGCTTGCCATTTTCACGACAAAGCATGCGGTAAGGCGAGTCTAACAAAACAGTACTTCTAAAATCCTGCCAGAGAAAATTCACCGTTGGATCGTACACTCGTTGAAGTACTTTTTTGTGTCTGTGGATGGCAGACCTAGGATTCACATTGCCCCCCCCCATTACTGCGGATTTTGTATGTCTCAAACAGGGAGAGTGTTACAAAGTATTTCAGCTTTTTGCTACATTTTGTACTAAATGTATTGCTTTATCTATTTTTAATGGAATTCCTTGGCTCCAAATTACATGCTTAGGCTGAAAATTTGCTGCATCATAAAATGTGAGAACATCTTCCTACATATGACCTTGTGTGAATTATGTTAACAATGTGGCGAAGGGCATCAAGCCATTTGATTTAGAAACGTGTGAGAACACCTAAAATGTTTTATTTGGCTCCGGTGAGTGTTAATTTGGGGTACCTGATAGGTGGAGTCAGAATGTTTCTAGAACCTTACTATGGTCGGCATTAAACTATGGAATCTGATTGAGCAATCTTCTTTAGCTCCGCCAACAATTATAAAGTAGAACTGATCCTGACTAGATGCAAGCTAACTGTTTGGGTGGGACTTCTACTACAGAGGTTCCGTAGATCTAAAGGATATTGAATAGAGACTGCCGAGTGGCCATCTGTACCATTCCTACAACTGCGCTTTCTGTTGTCTTGGAATGCTTGACAGGAAACACATTGTGAGCAACAGGAAGAGAAGGAAATTTATACTGGTGGATGTTTATAGCCAAATGCTGGATACCAGAACGATGCCGCCAGATCACCTAATCGGCCTGTAGCTAATGATTCATTACTATCTATGGAGTTCCCTTCTAAGTGTAACAATGCTGCCACTTTATAGAACAAGTAAGCTTAGATTTGCGCCAGTGTGTTCAGTTGGTTTTTTTTTTTGTGAGGCAATTGATTTGCTTTTAATGCAGCACAGTTTGTGGCTTGAATTAGCCCCATAGCAGTGTAGTCTGGCTCCATATACAGTTGTTAGCAAACATTCTAAACACCGCTCTGAGAAAAGCAAGTAGCACTTCTGTCACACCCGAAATACAAACACTGTCAGCCTCAGATGGTTGATGCAAACGATTTGGCCACGTCGTCAGAAAGTGTTAGAGCATGCATTATATGTTCAAGGATTTTTTTTTTTTAGTCTTGGAATTTTTGTTAGAAACGTAAAATGTTCTTTTACTTGCAGTTTTCATACTTTTTTTTTATATGTAGATTAATGTCGTCTTCCAAAATGAAAACAAAGTACCATTCTTACATTACACAAGTTCTCCAATAGTCGATGGATGGTGTATCCATTCTGAGCAAGTTCAATTATGTATACTTTTTTGTATAATGTGATTTAGATCAGCTCAGATTTAAATTCTTAAAAAGCACGTTTATTGTAACAAGAATTGTTATGTATTAATACTGTTTTGAATAAAGATTGACTTTTGTGTTGCTTATACGAGTTAAGATTTTGTTTTGAAAATGGCCTTTTATCATTTGAAAATGATCCTGTGTCTGTATATAACATACACTGTATACTGCATGGGCTCTCAGCATCTCTAACAGAAAAATACTGCACAGTACTCAACTTTCCTTCCTACATGCCACAGGGGACACCCCCATCTGGGCCTGTCTGGAACTCCCAAACTGCAATAAAATAATATTGGCCCTGATAATAGTCTAAAATAATAATGGCCTCAATAATAGTCTAAAATAATAATGGCCTCAATAATAGTCTAAAATAATAATGGCCCCGATAATGATCTTTCTTTGGTGACCACATTCTGCACAATCATTCTCGAGTCTGATGCTTCGCAGCTTGAATGTTTGGGACTTGATCTGCTGCTCCAGCCAACTAATGTCCCCCTGCTTACCTTTACCACAGATTACCAAAAGCCAACCCTTTCTACCGGGACTGAAAAGTCAGTCTGGCGGACCACTCACTTTCACCATTTTCTCACCCCACGCCACGTCTGAATGGTAGAAACTGCGGTAACACTATGAAGCCCCTTAAACAGAATTTTGCAGATACAGTGGCTTGTAAAATTACTCATCCAATTGAGAATCTGTGGCATGACTTAAAGATTTCTGTACTCCAAAAAAACTCAACCAACTTAAAGGAGCTGGAGCAGTTTTGCCTTGAAGACTAACAGTCCCAGTGGCTATGCCAAGCTAACAGACGTATCCCAAGAGACTTGCAGCTCTAATTGCTCCAAATGGTGGCTCTACAAAGTATTGACTTGGTGGGGGTGAATACCGTGTTTCCGCGAAAATAAGACACTGTCCAATGTTTTTTTTTGGCTCAAAAAAACACACTAGGTCTTATTTTTTTTTAAATGTACAACAATCCACACTTATTCATGTACAATAGTCTACATGTATTAATGTGCAAAAATATGGTGATCAGGGGTGCCGTACTTTTCCAAGAACAATTTGCTAACCAATCGCTGGCCAGAATGAGCGAAGCACACTTTCACCATTGGTTCCTCACAGGTGGAGTGCATGTGGTATCACTTTGCCTGTGACAGGAGCCGGCGCTATAGAGGAGGCTCGACTTATGCGGCTCTGCTCCCTCTGGTGCCGCCTCGCTTCCTCCAGCGCTGGCACCGTTGATTCTTACTTCTCCCGCGGCTCTTCAAGTTACCCCTTATGCCACCACCGCCCCTGGGAATGGTCACAACTAGGTCTTATTTTCAGGGTAGGTCTTATATTTTAGCAATTCCCAAAAATAGTGCTAGGTCTTATTTTTTCGGGGTAGGTCTTATTTTCGGGGAAACAGGGTAGTTAAGCATTGCTCAAGTTTTTTTCTGTTTTTTTTTTTGTCTTATTTCTTGTTTTGTATCAAAAATATTTAGCATCTTCAAAGTGGTAGGTATGCCATGTAAATCAAATGATACAAACCCCCAAAAAATCCTTTTTCATGTCAGGTGGTAATGCAACAAAATAGGAAAAATGTCAGGGGTGGGGGGATACTTTTGCAAGCCATTGTACCACCAGATTAGACACTGGATCACTACATTCACCAGAAATTCAGTTTCCTTACACAAAAAAATTTTTTGAACACCTTTCAAAAAACTTTAAACTTTCTATTTCTATCTCTCCTATATTCCTCTTTAAACACTGGCCCATGCCATCCCATGCTCACCTATGCTAATAATTGGGAACAGGACCTAAATAACTGGCATCAGAGGATTGGGTTAAGATCTGGTTTAGGATAGCTAAATGTTCCTTTGATACGACCATATTGAAATCAGCTGATAAAGTTCTCTTTAGGTGGTATAGGATGCCTGCACGCATAGCAAAAGCTGTTCTGTCCTACTGCAAGAGATGTTTTAGAGGTTGTGGCCAAAAGGGAGATGTCTTGCACAGTTGCTGGTCCTGTCTGAGCCTAATTTCCATCTGGTCTAGAATATGTGGCCTCATCCAAACACCTTCCCACATCACCATCCTTAATAATCCCTGTATGGCTCTCTTAACACCACACAATTCCAGGCTCACTATGTCTTAACACAAACCGTCCACCTTTCTTTTCCTGGCTGTGGAACAAACCATTGCTAGAGCCTGGACAAACGCCAGAGTCAATTTGCAGTAGGCAGCAGAGCACCTCAATATGCTGCTCATTATTAAAAAGTTATTTAGCGTTTGAGGACTTAAAATTTGGGAACCCTGGCTTAATTACG